TTTACTGCGCTCCGCCCCCGCCGCCGCGGTCACGTGCACAGCGAGGTTTTCCCCCCTCCCGCCTCTTGCCCGCCCCGGCCTCAGGAGCCGCTGAGGGTCAGGCCCAGCCGCGACAGCTCCCGGGGGGGATTTTACCCCGAAAGGGAAGTTTTCACCACGAAGGTAAAGTTTTTCCCCACTCCCGAAACTCTGCCAGAGCCTCGCTGGTATTTCTGGGCAGCTGGCTGGATTAGGAGAGGCCTTCCGCACAAAACAAATCCATCAAAAATAAATGAGAAGCAAGAATGCGCACAGAAAAACCCGCCAGAACAAACACAACCAACCAAAATTAAATAAGACGGGAAAAATAAAATTTGAAAAGCAACATAAAACGCCACAAGAATACCCAAAGTAAACCCAAACAAAATATCTTGAACTAAACACCCTCAAAACAAAACCACCCCCTCAAATAAAAACACAAACAAAACATCAAACCAAAACATAAGGAAAAATAGACCTCTGAAAACCACCAAAACACACACAAAAATTATAAACAACCCCAAAACCAAACCCCAGGAAGATGGCTCCTTGAAGAAAGGTGCTTTTTGTGCAGAGCATTTGGGAATTCCCAAATGGCAAAACTTTGAGGAAAAACGTTTTCAAAGCATGTGGTGCCTGCAACAGATGCTGGAGAGCGTTTGGTGCTGATATGGAAGCTATAGTGACAAACTACCCAGTACCCTGTTTGCACTGTGTTCCCAAATCAATGTTTGAAGTGATATTTTGAAGGTACAAAGAGGCCAATCCAATAAAGTTATTAGAAAAAGCCAAAACCCCAGTTCAAATTTACTTAGTCTTGCCTAAAGAAAAGTTTAAAAAACTGGTGGACACCCAGCCATAAGGTGCAGAGCTTGTAAATCACATGTTTAGAGGAGCTGGGACATGGAGCCCTATAATAATACACCAAAAACTTATGAAAGTTCCTTAAAAACCAAGGGAAGCATCAGAGCCTCCTGAAGCTCTTCACTTCCAAATGGGTTTAAATGGAATGTTACGCTTCCATGCCCAGTAAATTTTCTTATCTGAAACTATAAAACAATAAAAGTAACAGCTGAAATTTAAAATAATGTGGCTACATCATGACCATTCACATGGAGTAAGCTAAAGAAATACCTATCTCAAAGCCAAACAGAAAGACCACGGCAGGTGCCACCAGTTTCCCCATTTCCCAAACAACCTACATTCCTAGTGTGCCACTCTGGTGAGCTCCGTCAGACTCTGTCGTCACTGTCTCCATAGTAACTGTATTTCCAAAAAGAAAACAGCAAAGGGAAATAAAACGCAAGAGCGTAATGTGGAAAAACAGATACACACTTGTAGTATGGATTTTTAATTGCCTTTTGGTGGTTTTCTGGAGAACATAGACCTCCACTGTCTCTTTATCACCCCTCATCAGCTCCCCCCAAGCCACGATAACACCGGCACCGATTCCTGTGTGTCACATTTTACATTTGTAAAGCCAACATTATGAGGCATAACATTAAACAGGAAAATTGCGTGTACAATTCATATTCAGCTCCAATTGCATTTGCTGAATCGAGTAGACAGCTCAATATTATTATTTTCCTTCCTTTTCTTTTTATTCCCTGTCTCAAAATTTGCACTACTGCCCGACATAGAAATCTGTTTCAATTCTTTCAGAGAAAACAGTATTTTTACACATCTCAGACAGCACAAACAAGTGCTTTTGCAGCTTTGACATGGGCTGATGGTTCTGTTTCCATAGGAATGAACATTCGTTTGCTGAAAAATGGGGGGGTGCTTTAGAGAGCCTTTTCCAGTTTGCAGGGATACATAGATTTCTGGTGGGATGAGAGAGCAAAGCTTAGCAGCACACGTGAGGTTTTGCTTAACAAGCAAACATCCTGATATGATTCTCCTCATAAGCAATGTCATTATGAGTGTAAATAAACACCAATGTTTTCACAGCAGCTAATTCATTCGCACAATGCACATTAAAGAAATTACCTCACATTTTACTACCCACGTCTGAGGGCAAAGCAAGATGGGGAAACAATAATTAAAAGAAAAAACAGTAATCAAAGGTCAGTTGGAAAGGCAAGTTAGCAGTGGGAAATTAAGCCTTTTAAGTCATCCCCATCAAGCAGAAGCACCAAGAGTCTTGCCCAGTCCCCTGTTAGGCACAGCCCCTTCTCATCTGCTGGCCTTTGAAGCTCCTTGCTACATCCTGCCCCAGTTATTCCACCCATGCTTGTTTTCAGTATGCTCTTCACCTCGTCTGCCCTCCAAGAGCATCTGTCAGTCTCCTGGTAACTCGTTGCCCTCCTCCTCTTTACAGTTTCAATGAAGAAAGACAGTGACACAGGCAGGACTACAAAGTCTTCACACCAGGTCCACTCTAACCAGTCACAGGGACAACAGGATATCAAGCGTACTGGTGTAAGACTGCAGGTACTATCTCTTTTCTTCTCCTCCCTCTATTTCTCCCACATACCTAAGCACACCAATAAAAACTGTGATGCATTTAAGAATGTTAGTACAAACATTTTCTAAAATATCTATTTGGTTTGATTTTTCAAATACTAAGGAACACATTCTTTTATTCAGATTGTTTAAAGCTGTGAGTTCTGAGGTGTGGGCTTTTTTCTCATCTCTTTTTTTCCCCTCCCTCCAAAGCTGGAAAAAAGAGACTGAGCAACAGACCTAAGTACTATTTGACAAAAGAATCCTAAGTCACAGCTCCAGATTCTCACAAACTAGGTCAACACAACCAAGATTTACTACACCACAGCAATGTCACTCAGGACGATGAAGCAGCTGACATCTCCCACTGTTGGATTAGTGAGCTCCTCCTACACCAAGCTCTAAACCTTGACACCATCACACATTGAGGAGAACCCTCATCTGTACCGTTGATTTATTTGGGAAATAACTCAATTTGGCTAAAAGCCCTTCCTTTTGCTGGTAAAAAGGTCAGCAACAGAAGTGTGCCAATCTAATCACATTAAAGGCCGTTAAAGAAATTTTTTTTGCTCCCTCCATCCCTTCTTGGAAACACAATTCTATTCTCCTCTATCTTCCCAAGTCCTTTTCCAAAACATCCAAAGCACTAAAACAAAACAAAAAAAATCCTCAACACTAACAGATGTATTTCAACATTAGGATTTGGCCTTTATCCAGAGATGTTTGATAAAGCTCCTAAAAGAAAAGTTGGTAACAAAGCTACGGGAAATCAACAGTAATTTTTAATCTGCACGTGCAAGCAGTAAATACAGATTGTCCTTCAGAGAATAATGAAGGATAAAGCCAAGATAAAGCACTAACAATGGAAGAGTAGCTTTTCAATAGCATTAAAAAATGGTCTAGATGGGTCCAACAGATAAACCAGGCTCAAGCAAAAACACGGAAGCCTACCAGAAGAATTCTGTCTCTACAGTACCAAAACAGAACCAAAGTAACTTTTCACCAGAATCTGCCACATATAAGACAAAACAAAAGGTTTATACTGCTGTAGATCAGCATTAGTATCTGCATTTTACAGTAAAGATTAAAATGGCTTAATGGAAAGTAACTTAACTCTTAAAATAGAGAGAACCAGCTCCTAAGCTAGTCCAGCAATGTTGGTATTTATATTTGCATGTATTTTTTAATCATTTCAGTGTGTTTATGTTCCCTCATGTAACTCTCCCCATCCTCCTGAGACCTACCAGCAGAAAAAACATATGTGTAAAATGCACCTTTGAACCTCTCCAACCTATGTACCAATAATAACTTCAAATGCAAAGGACAGTGCTTTACCCTTCAACAGTGTTTTCTGAAGTGAAAATCTGCCCTAAATTGTTATGTTTTTTCTTGGAAAGAAAAATGGCAGAGGTTTGAAAAGAAAAATGAACATGAGAAAACCCTCCACTATAAAATAATATCTACTGGTTCCTTCTAAAAGACAACAAAGTTTTTAAAAACAACTGTGTTAAAGCCACTGCCACAACACCTCTCTTGTTGTGCTATCAGGTAACTTTTTCTTATCTTAAATTATAGCTTTAATAAGAAAGAATGATGGGTTTGCTCTTTCATACTATTAAGTATTGTATGAAGAACGCAGTAGGAAGCAACAAGGATTCTCTACACAACTTTTCTTCTCATGAAAGACACCAAAAATTAAGCTCAAGCTCAGTGAAGTCTTAACTTCAACATTTAGAGCATCTTTGAATGCTGCAGTCACCTATATCTATTATTTAAAACTCTAGGTATTATCATTGTTATTAATCATTTTGACTGAGAAATCAAACACATGCATCACTAAATAGCCCTTTTCTTTCAGAAACTTACTGTAAGACAGGATAAAGGTTCATCTGACCTTTTTTCCCATGCATGAATACTTTGCAGCATTCTTGTATCCTCTACTGAGCACACATGTAACTTGTTAAAGACTCGCTGCTTGTTTCCATCCAGTTTCAACACCTTTTAAATGGTATCCTGACTTCAGGCCAGCAAATACTTTCAGTAATGTAGTCTAAGTTTGTTTCACTAAGTTTCTCATTTTCTTAGCATTTACATGTTTCTAGTTATCCATATCACCTAGATAATGCTAGCATTTAAACATATCTTCTATTAATCTGAAGCTGATCATAAACATAAGATCTTTGACACTCACCATTGATGCTACTTAAAATCATATTTCCAGAGTTTCTTACTTCATCAAATTTTGCAAAGATGGTTTGCAACCTGTGAAAAACAACAAGGAAACATTTTTATATCTCTGAAATCCCTTGGGTTACTGGTAAAAATAGAAACCATTTATTAACATAAATAAATCACTAATACAGAATATAAAAGGGATTAAGAATATCAAGAAACTATTCTTCAGGGACTCCTCCTAAGTTAGTTGAGCATCTCCATATGAATGCCTGGAAAACTGTCAACTCAAATAACAAAACTGATTAAAATCTACTGACATCCTGAATTTCAGGTTCAGTACTAGTGTATATATTGGATTCAGATGTCTGCAGTATTACTCTGTTTATACACAACACTAAAAGGCAAGAATTTTAACTATGATCAATTGGGAAAAGAAATATGGATTAGTACTTCATTTGTTCTGAGACAATTACAAGTTTTTGCTCATCACAATTTTTCCAGTTTTGTTATGAAAACGTTTTCCTAGTAGTTAGCATTTTCACAGTAACAGGAAATGCTTCTTTTCTAAACTTAAGGTAGACAAAACACTTCACTCATGTCAACACCCAGACCACAGATCTTAACTCTCACAACTGAAAACAGACTGCAAGTACTAAGCTACATATAAACAGAAACAAACACCACAAAAAAAAAAAAAAAGAACACAAAGAAACCACACACAACCAAAACAAAACCTCTAGATTTGCCATCTAGTCCCACCAAGTAGGAAAAGCTGCTCAGGAAGCTGGCAGAAAACTTAAACAGCCATTTTTCATCACTTCTGCCATAACTACCATAAGGCAAACCAAGAAAAATGGGTAAAAACAGTGCTTGGGTATGAAAATTCTCAAAATACACAAAAGGAGCAACATCAAGGACACACAAAGATTTAACTTGTACACTTCCTTATGCACACCCCACTTTTACTCAATGATCTGTGTAGACAGTCTGTGCACAGTTTTCTCTGATCCACCACACACCCTGTTCATTCACTGCTACCTCATTTATTCAGCCATGATTGAATGCAATAAAATCATGAAATGCAGCCAGAGAAGTGCATAAAAAATCTTGGGCCCTTCTTCCCTAATTTCCCATGTTTTACAGCTCTCACAAAGTGCTATTTTTACTTTCCAGATACTTCAGGGCAATCTGATGGAGAGCAAATTTGGCCTGGACTAGAACTAGTCAAAGAAATACCTGGATTTAGTTGAGAATTCCACAAAAAAAATCCAACCCTATTACAAGCATCTAAAAATTAAACCAAAAAAAACCATGAAGTCAATAACCTCTAATGCAAACCAGCAGTTATTTTACCATCTCAAATTATCTCAAAACTGTATGTAGCTCAATAGTAGTTGGCCTAATTTTCCCTTAACTTCGTTCTTGTCTGTCTTCTCCCTGGAATCTGTTTTCCCCTCTCCTTTGCACCACCCTCACATCTACAACCAGCACAGCCACAGCAACATGTGTGAAACAGCCACTCACAGATGTCAGATGACACTGCTTTAATATTAAACCTTGCTCTTTCCATGAAAAGGTCAATTTGTAAACCAAATGCAATTTACACCAAAATGGTTGGTTTGTTTTGCCACTTAGCCCAGGAAAAAAAACCCAAGTACAGTAAACATCTGAAATGCTTTTTGGGTAGTAGCAGTTACTAAGGACTCCACGTGGAACCCATTACCATGCTACAAAAATCAATACCCACAGTAATGCATTATGCCACTTTGCTTTCATCAAAGCAAGTTAATGCATTTGCTTTGTAGGTACCATAGGAAGTATTTTCACTGTTCACTAGTGATTGCAAGTTGCCCTCAATATGCTCTATCCTATACTAAACACTGCGTTCACAGTTCACCTGGTTGATGAGGACTTAACTCCATCTGAAGGACTGAAACTTAACCTGAGAGAAACTGAACATGAAGACTAGAGAGATTAATAGATTTCCTTTAAAAACTCACTTCAATTTTTATGCCTTGTTAGGAAAAAATGTTACACGTTTGGCACACGTATTTTTGAGCATTCAAAAGAAAGTATTTCCTCCTCTTTTGAACTTTGTTTCAAACATGCTTTCCTGAGCATTTTAAACAAAATGCTTCCTTATAAATATAGTAATATACACATTGGCTCCCACTCTGGGCAAAATATCTGACAAAGTACTAACTATGAACGTTTAAAAATGTGTTTCCCAGCACTGGATGCTATGTAGTCAGTGGTGCAGGCTGGAGCACACCTAAGTACTGCCACTCCTAAAGCTTTCAAGGCATGTCTTCAGGACCAGAGGCATACTCTGAAGTATTTGGTCATAATTAAAAAGAAGAAAAATCCAGTAAAACACAGGTGACAAGATGGTCAAGCACTACTGCAGATCCAACCCTCTCTTTACCACAGCTTACAGGATCTGTAACTACTACTTTGCTAAGACTCTCACAGTAAGTTTCTTCCTCCCTCTCCTCCCACCCAGCTCTTCATGCTACTATCTTCTATTTCTTCACACAGCCACAGGCAGCGAGGCAGTATGGGCTGAAGTCTCTAAAATTATTGCAACCACAATCAATTTAAGATTGTTTACAGGGGCTGAGCTCCTGGAACAACAAAGCCTGACCAAGAGGAACCCAAGGAAGCTGACAGGGCCGGGTGAAGGCTGGTTTCATCAGCAGCAGCAGTAAGGAAGGTTCTTGAAGAAGAGGAGCATTATTACTCCTTGATCTCATACCTGCAAGCCCAACTCTGGATATGACATGCATAGTCCATCAGTAAAGTCATCAGTCAGTAGAAATACTATGTCACTGGTGACCAGACATTATCTTCTTTCTTAAAGAAGGCACAGACAACTTCTGCCATTTCACATATGGAAGGAAAAACCCCCACTGACCAAAAAAACATGCAGGCCACTTCTGCATGAGCTGGATGATTGTTGCTGTCTGAGTCAATCTATCAGGTTGTAGCACTTGAAACAGGGGCTCCTAGCAGCCTGCTAAACCCTCTCCTATGGCAGGTGATAGGTCTCCATCAAAGGATGGCCTTAACATGGTTATTCCAATCCATGAGAGGAACAATGTACCCTAAGACAGCGTGAGCTGACACGTGTGCACATGGAAATGCTCACCAAGAATATGCACTGCACTGCCAGACTGAAAAGCCACTACTGATGAAGTTCAACTGTTTGCATGACAAGCAGAGGGGGATAACTGAAAGTTTGGACCTTGTTATGATGAGAAAAAAAAGCACCAGTCCCCTGTCAGTAGCAGGAAGAAGAAGAAGAAAGGGTGGCCATCGGTCCATTCTTCATGTCCAAAAAGAGTCTAAAGCAGGAAATGGCCCAGATGAAGCCTTGCACTTATTTCCCCTTACTTCTCTCTTCCAAAAATAAAGCATCTTGAACAGACACGTGTCCACATCTGGACACACAGATGGACCTCATCTACAACACAAACTAGACAGATAAGTCAAATGGCAGTATTCAGAAATGCATGCTGCAATCCTGTAACGTTTCAGGATATCAACTTGTGTGTCTAGACATAAGGACTAAACAAACAACTGGGTTTTATACATTATGCTTCTCAAGCAACAGTGGGAAAACTTGTCAGATGACTTCCTGAAAAAAAATCTTAAAAAGCTTTTAACACTCTGACCAACTGCTATCCAGAGCCACATGGACTACTTCCACTCAGGGAAGATGAGCTATACAGATTCCATGCTGTAACAAACTCAGTTTGGCCCATACAGAACAAAATCTGTGCACTCTTCTTGGCTCCCAGAACAAGAAATACAACATCCACTTTTGGTATTCACAGATACATTAACACTAATACTTACAGGCCTGATACCAATGACTAAAAAACCTCTTTGGCAGCAACTTTAACAGAAGGGAAACCAACAGCCAAATTTCCAAACAGTGACTTGATACTGATTTTTGTGAAAAAACACATGTGCTTTAAGCAAAACATGTATTATGAGTTTTGTAAGTTGAAAAAAATGAAATAGAAACAGGCACTCATTGATTTTCTTTATGAACCAACTCACAAATTCATCTCTTTAAAGAGTAAAAACACACTGTGAAGAAATATATAGTAGTAACAAGTAAAGTTGAACTACAAAATTAAGATCCCATCTTTTATTAACTCCCTAGACTCCACCAGGTCTAAAACCTTCTCTAGAAAATCCAGGATTTTCCACTGAGGCAAACCTACCAGGTGCAGATTACAAAACCTTTTAAGCCTACTATTATTGAATTACTAACTGCATTTGGCTTTGTATAGCCACAACATGTATACACCATTTGCATATTTAAGGAAGTTGAACAATTTCTTAACACAATGCTTGATGAACTTTCCTGCCTTCCCTTCAGCAGATGTGAGCTCTTATTATCAGTGCTTTAGGGCAGAGTACATTCAAGCAGCAACACACAGATCTCTAATGTGTAATATGTTATGTAAACTAAACAAGCCTACTTTTTATTCCATCACGTGTGCAGCAAATACTGCAGAGATCTGGGTTTCTGCAAATATTTAGGCTTCCACACAGTTCTGAATGCCCTGTCGTACAGTAAAGGAGCTGCAGTGCAGTTCTTCAGGCTGAACTCAACAACTGAAAGCAGCCGTGTCTGAACTACAGATTATCTGTAATACTTAAAACCCTTAAAACCTACCCAGACACACAAATGTGAATACAGATTCCCCTCAAAACAAGGACAAGATGATACCCTGCATCAAAAGGGCTTTTTCTCCACACATCACCAGTCCTGTGTAACCACATGAAAATTTTAAAGCACCTACGTGAAGGGAAAACTTCTGACAGGCACTGGGGAAGAAATGTCTCAAATTAGGTCTGCCTGTGAGGAACAACAGCCTGGGCTACCACAGAGCTAATCTGTCTTTCCTGAGCTTTGTCAGCCGCTGTGCTACTCGTGTGAGGGAGTAAGGAGAGACTGCAACAACTCTGCTTTCCATCAGCCATCTAGCAGCCCCATGCTCGAGCAAATCCTAACTCCCCTCTTCATCCCAAACTGAGAATACCACAGAGGACACAGCACCCAGACCCAGCTAACTGATTATTTTACTCTAGCCTTGGCCACCAGGTGCAGAACTGCTGAGTTTCAGTGGCAACAGCCCGTTTAACATGCACCAAGCAGAGCCTCCCTTCTTTATATAAATGCAAATGGTGCAACTACACTCGCCTTCAGATCAGGGGGAATTCTGTATTCCACTGACTCAGAGCATAGAAAAAACCATTTGGTACCTACTGCAACTGAATTAGAAGCTGCTCATCACCCTGAGGGTACAAAGCTCCTGTGGTGTTTAATCCTATTTGGATCCCAAGATTTACTCAGTTTGTACCACAGGGAAATGTGAACAGGATGAGTGCTGAACCTAAAATTATGGTCAGACTCAACAGACACAGTACACATGAAAGCTGTTATCTGCACTCTTTTGTTCTTACTCTCTGTTCCAAAAGATGTCCAAGATCCTGCCTTGATGTAAGCAGGATCTTCTTCATTATGTTTATCTGCTATGAAACTTAATTTTTTTGAATTGTAGTAATAACACAGCTTAAACTTCTGTGGTAGCCATCTAATCTCTTAATAATCCAAAATTATGAGAGCCATTAAATAAAAGAATACGCACAACTTTACGTAGGCAAGAGAAGCTTTTGTCCAAACAGGCTGAACTCTGCCTGGAACATTAAACAATGAACTCAATACCATTCTCCTATGATCTTTTGATACCTTACAAATAAATCAGGAAAAAATCAGGACTAATAGTTCTTTTAGAAGGCTCTGATGAGTCACAGTATTCGCTCTGATACTCTGACACTGTTTTGTAGATATATTCAGTTTCATCAAAATCAAGCAGCGAGATGATCCAGAGTAGAGGGATATGTTACTTGATAAGGGGTTTGCACATTTTTTAAGATGTGTAAATTGTTTTAAAAAGGAATATTGAAGGTTTTATTGTATAAACAGTCTTTCCCACTATTTCCACCTCTGTCTAGCTTTCTTATTTAAACATATCCTTACCAAGGCAGCAACAAAACAACAGCTACTTTTATTTCTTGTAAACTGAACTACACACAACATAAATCAGCCTTCAAAGATCAAAATTGCTTTTAAGAAAGAGAAAGGAGCATCCAAAGTAGACATTTTCAGAGCTTTCTTTACACCTTTTGCAAGAAACATCCAGCACCCTGTGATGACATGTGTAACAGGTAGAGCAGCCAGTGCTCTTCCTGAATACTTCTCTCTCCCTGAAGCCCAGACTGGAAAGGACTGGTCTGATATAGCATTTATTGGCTTAATTTTGAAACCTTTTTCTACCATTGTCCAGCTCTCAGCTTCTCCCAAAGTTCAGGGATTTTAACTGGTGAATGGAAGGCTGCTTTTCATGGCACACCTGTATACCTCTTCCAAACAGAAAAGACAGCCACAGAACAAAGTCAGAACACTAGTAACACCACAGCAGAAGCAAAAGTAGTTAGAATAAAAATAGTAGTATTTTTAAAACACAGCATTTAATGAGTTTGAAGTTCTAATAAAGAACACTAAGACAGAATGGCTCAGGATGATAAAAATCAAAACAGCTAACTCACCTTCCAGGAGGAATTCCTCTCTTGGTAAGATCTAGTCGTACTTTCTCTCCCACATGTCTATAAACCTCTACAATGGCCAGTATGGCAGCATCTCTCACCTGTGAACACAGTTTAAATGGTTCTTTTTAGGGTAACAGAAACAAAGAGAACACTGGCTGACATCCCACTCATCTCCCAGTCTCTGTCGACCTGCATGCCAGCTCATTTCACAACACACTTAAAACAGCCAGGATGGAAGGAAAGGAAATACAACTGTAGTTTCAAGATGGTGTTTGTTCCAAGCCAGAGCATCTCCAGATGGTGAAAGTAAAATCCTAGAAGTAACAGCTCCAGAGGGAATTTCTGAGACTGACATAAGAATATATGGGGGAAAAAATCAGGTCTTATTGAGGACTACCACAGCAGGCAATTCTTCAGCAGTTAGACCCTGCACTCAGCCCTGACACTTGCTGTTGCTCTCAGCTCTTTCTACATGCAGTGAGGTTCTTCTGGACAACTAAGGACCTGACTGCCCTCAAAAGTGGGCTAAAATGATCAGCATTTTCTTCCTTCCAACACAGGGAAGGGGAATGAATAGTTAAACCAAGGAGACTTCATGCCTCTCTAAAAAATTTTAAACCATAGTCATCACAATAAAAACTGCCCAATATGCATGTTAGTAAAAGCCATTATTCTCTACAAAGAATTACTGGAGAGACTTAAATATTGTTCTTTGTAACAGTTCAAACTAAACCCACAATTGCTCTATCAACATATGAACTACATCTTTACTAATGATCAACAAAAAAGAAATTCTTGAAAGATTTTCTCTATAACAGAAGGATGCTATGCCATACAGGGGAGACCAGGACCTTGCTGCACCCAGAAAACAAGGATGAAGAACTATCCTCTTTAGTTGCCCATCTCCCACCAAAGCTACCTTTTTCCTTACTGTATTCATAGCCTTTTCTCTCAGATAGAGCTTCAGATAAATCAAGAGAGAGCTTATCAGTTTCCATGGGAAGATTTTCTGAAGTTCAGATGTCACCATCATGAACTAGGTCTTGATTTTCACTGCAGATGTTTTCATTTAATTAACTGATTTTAACTACAGTCCTTGCACATGCTCCAAAGCCATTTGGATTCCATTTAGGAAATTATTACATGATAATGTTATCTCTAGCAAATTTGGCAAGCTCCTACACATCTCATGTAGGGGGCTCCTTCTGGAGGCAACTCTTCCTGTCAATATCTATACTCTTGTTTCAACATCCTCTATAAGAAACAACTATTTTCAGTAATGACTAGTTGCACTTTTTGAGCACAAAACTCAAGGAGCCAGTATATCACAACACTGCTGCCTCTGCAACTTTCCTTTTATCTCCCAATGGATGGACTGAATCAGAAGAAAATGGGTTTATTGTTTCTGATAGCAGAAAATAACGATCTGTTGTATACAAGCAAGCCTATCAGCTCTTCTTAAATGCCTACATTGATTTTGCTTTCATCCCTCTGTCAGAGTCTAGTTGTTGAAGCCCAAGGAGTGAAATCCTTACCTGACTATTTGAGTCCCCAAACGCTGTACACAGATGTGGTACCAACTTGCTGAGGATCAGTGGTTGTGCACCGTAACTAGAAGAAAAGTTAGATGTTAAATATTTGGGGTTTTTTTTTTTTTACACCAAAAAATACTTATTGCAGAATTGAACTTTCAGCTTAGTTTTGATAAAATACAAACTTATATTAATAAAGCTCTCTCTCTCCTTTGCTAGTCCTTTGTCCAGTTTTAAATTAGGCAAAAACACTAGACCTTTAGTCTTTCTTCCAGAAGGCTCACAGGTTAAGTTGATTGCTTTTCCCCATTTATTAATTTAATTGAATCAGACTTCCTAAATGACTCATTTCAGAGAAAAATGACATTCAGAAGAATGATAGAACTGCTATGTCTCCATAGAAACAAAAAGCTTACATGTTTAAGGTAGCAATAAGACACAAACACACTCCTTCTCGGGATCGGTAATTCTTGTGTTTAAAACCAAGAGCAAGGCGTTCCCAAATGTACTATAAAAACAGAAAGAATCATCTTTGATTACCAACAGCACAATACAATGTCACTCTCCATACTTTATAATTACATCCATAACAGTTAAAAAAAAAAAAATAAAGGACAGGTCCACTGGAAAATTAAAAGCACTTCTCAGACAAAATTAAGTTACAAAATGCACAGGATGGAACACAGATTAGTTAAACGCCAAAAACGATTTCTAAAAACATCCTTGAGAAATAGCTGAGCATTTGTCTTGAGAAACAGCTCTTAAAAACACACAGCATTGTTACAGTTAACACACACACACCAAACATTAACGTTACAAACTACTGACTCAAGCAGAAGTTGCTCGATTTTTTTGCTTCGCGTTCCGTTTCCCTGCCAAAATACCCTCTCATCCATTTTAGCTCATTATCCATACTCCTGCTTCTCTCCTATTTTCACTTTCAATTTATTTCTTCAATTATCTCTCGCCTGTTCATTGTAATTCCTCCCCTTCCATTTCTGTTCTGCTTTCATTTCTCCTTCCGTGCCTGTGCCGCTTGGCTCCCAAACCCTCCTTCACCCTCCCGCGCACTCCCGTTTCCTTCCCTGCTTTTAGCCTTGCCCTCCTCCCTTCGTCTCCTTTACCTCTCCATCTCCTCGGCGTTCTCTAGCTGTAGGGCATGGTGTGAAAGGCAGGGGGAAGGTGAAGCTCAGGGAGCGTGGGGAATCTCCGGGGCGGGCTGCGAGTGGAACTCCCCCAGCTGCAGCGCTGCCATTACGGCATCCGCGGGGAGCGTTGCCTAGTGATGGCTGCACACTGCCAGCAGCACATTTGGCAGCCTGGGCACCACCCCCAGAGGGCTGCAAACGTGTAAGGATTCCACACACATCTGCTACAATGTATTAGGAACTAATTATTGTAATCTGGGAAAAATAATAAACCTCGCTAATACGAACTCCGGCTCAACACCACCAGGGTGAGAGCACAAAATCTTGGATCCTCTCTTATTAATCGTGTGGAACTCTTCATAGCAGACATAAAATTTTCCAATCAGAGCCTCGCTTGATTGTTTCATCCCATCTGTTGTTACTTGCTTGTTTGTTTGTGTTATACTTCATTACGCTTAGAGAAAACAAACCTGAGACAAGCAGGGTATGGCTTGCCAAAACTGCACAGCTTAACAACAAAGAACAGGATTTTACAGGAGGAAACATCCTTCCAGTTACCCCACTGCCCAGGACAAACGTGGGAAAAAGGAAATCTCCTTGCTAGGTGTACAAAAATACAGGTAGGGAGGGAACTGTACAGACCTGAAACTAAGTAAGGCTCAAGAGTAATTCAGCCTTTTGCTAAATGAACCCTACCTGAAGAACTGCATTCTAAATAGAGAGATTCAAACAGCTGTTTAGAAATTTCAGCTCTCAGGACTTGCTAGCACAAGTTGGTGTCAACTTCCCTTTGTCCCATTTATGCTTTTATACACCTATATTCTTATTTTTCTGCTTTCCCACCCATAAACAGCTACATCTAGTTCTCACTCATAAAAACACACAAACAAAGAACCCAAACACTTAAAACAAGAAAAGGGAATTGACAACAGGAGAAACTCCACATCATTCAACAGCATACTGGAACAGACAAGATGAGCTCATTGGAAACTTACAGGACTTATCCCCCCCAAAATATTCCACCCAGCTCTTCCAAAAGCATGTTCCTCTGCAGCAAAGGGAGACTAAAACTCTGTATTTCCCTGTTGGCAGCACAGGAAAGACTTCCTTGTTTTGGTCCCTGCTGTGAGGATGAGTGATGCTCTTCATCCACATTTTTAACGATACATAAACTGAAGCCAGGTTTCTCCTGCCCCAGAGGAGCTCCATATCTGCTCTTAGGCTGTTCCTTGGACCCCATGAACCTTCTGTTCTTTCTGACACTGCAAGCAAGCTTCCAAGGGGATGGAAGCTTCTTTCCATCACCTTGGCATACAGCCCAACAACTCTCCAGAAACTGGAGCATGGACCGGTCACCTAAAACTCTTCCCTAATGAGGGCCTAGCACAAATCACCACACTCTTTATCAGCAGTTGTTCAAATGAAGGTGTCTCCAAGACACTGTGCACCTACCCAAACACTGCTACTGTAGAGGCAGGTGTACTTTCAGGTCTGCAGGCCAAGTATTTAGGAGCATCTTGTGCAAAGGAACGTGTCACTCAACTATTTGCACTTAGGCATGACAAAGTGCTGCAATGTCTCTGCCAGTGAATAGGATCCAAAGTACATGTAGTGAAAAGGTCAAGGCATGTCATTGGGGAAGACACTACTAGACTTTGGTACCTAAATCCTAGTTGGATCTGTTATCATACAAGAAAGTGACTCATAAGAGTTGGAAGGCAAATAAATATGTTTCTATTGTTGCCTAACATGCTACCCATGTCTCCAATCAGACCCAGTAATGGAGAAAAATCTTCTCCCTGCAGAGCAAGTCTCAAAAATCTTTTTCCCTGTGGACAAACATTGCAACCTCTACCTATGAATACAAGTTGGGAATTAGCAGCAAAAGAACCTTGTTTTAATTCACAAAGATGAAGACATTCCCTATTAACTTCTGCACTTCAAACTCTAAAACATATTTTCTTTGGAAATTAAAACCCCAAATAAGAAGTTCCTACTGACAAGCAGGGTCACCAGAGTTCCAAATAAAATCATTGCTTAAACAATATAATCCTGTTAAATGATTTTAAAGTTTTCACATTCACAGAGTAGAAATGTTAGATTTAGCACTTGGAAGCCACACAATGGTAAGAGCTGTAAAAAGTTTGTGTAACTCAACTTCAAAGTAAAAGACCAAATCAGAGGGTAACTTATCCCCACCTCTGTTTGTCCAAGGCTCACACAGCATGTTTGTCATGCATCTAGAAAGCCAGATTTTCTATGGTAGAACACATCTCAACTGCAGGACAGCTCCTGCACGTTCAGGAGTAAAACAACATCAATTCAGAGCTAAAGAAATGGATTTATTCCCATTATGCAAACTCAAATCCAGGAGGACACTTCAAACATGCTTAATGAAAGTCCTGCCACGTGACATGTAAACATCTCCTGAGAATTTAGCTGTAATATGCAAAAACTGCTGAATTACACTGTGCCAGATTTTTATCTTGAGCTGAACAATGCATCAGTGTCAAACCATTAATATTATCTTTAACATTTACACCATTAGCAGCTGCTGTAACGTCGTGACAAATTCAAAGTCAAGCTCATGCAGAAGTCATAAGCTTCTGGAGGCCTACATCTGAATCTAGATGAAGTCATCATACCATGGGTGGTGCTGCTTTGTCCATCAGCTTCAGTATCAGATTCTGTGCTTGCTCTCGGACTTGGTCTTTGGCATCTCCCATACGATCTATCAAAGGCAGGAGAACTACAAGAAAAGAAAAAGAAAAAAAGATTAAACACCCAATGAAGATTTTCTAATACTTCAAGATATATCCAAAGACAGATTTAAGACACATTTCACTCAAAAATAAAAGCTGATTTTAAGTTGGGCAAAATATATCCAAGCCTCAAATGGATTTCTTATAACATTATAGAGACTAACAACAAAAGCATTGGACTGAAATTGGAGAAAATAGTATCTACCAGCAGGCTAAAGTGAAAGCAAGCTTCCCATCTTAAAACCTGTGTGAATGACTTCAATTTAATCTTCCAAAAATATGCTGATAGCTCCTGAAAGCCTGGCTACTTTGAAAAATAATGCTAGACCTGGTGAGTCGGAAAGAATTGGGAAAGGAAAAAGGACTACTAGAAAATAAATCAGTGGGATTTTGTTGTTTAATTACAGAACTTTTAGACATTGTAAATCCTCCTATTCACACAGCGTATGTTCTGGAAACTCAGACTTACTTCAGTAGAAGTATTGATACAAGTTACTATTTTAAAACAAGTGCCCTCAAATACTATTTGACTAAAATTTCATCCTCGCTGATGGTTTCACATCCTAAAAATCAGAACTCACTCACAATGAAAGGCCTTGCCAATTCTTTCCCACTGCTTATCCAGAGAGAAGTTTACAATTACAGCTGATAAATTCATGCTACAATATTCAGGCAAGTTATCTGAATAAATGCTTACATCAGCAGCATGGAACACATCCTGCTGTGCTGGTTCCCAGTCCTCCATCTGCAGCCCACACACACACACTGGGGCTACATTTGCAATCATGATGACATTTACTCCAAATTTCTACAAGTAGCCCAAAATGTACCTCGAGTCTTTCAGAGATTTGTTCATATTCCAACAGAGGACAACCCAGCAGCAGCTAAAATCTCCTCCTGCTGTATTTGGTGCTACCTCTCTGAAGACCTGAGAGTACTTTCCTGCTGCTGCTTGAGCTCCCTGAGCTCAGACTGCTACGAAACTTTCCTGGTTTGCTCACAGAAGAAATTTAGCCCTATTTTTTTGAAAGGATGAATGTTATCAGTACATAGTGATTTTTATAGTAATAACTCGAGTTGCAAACAAAAGGAAAGGAACAGAATCAGTTGCTCAGGAGGTCTCCTCAGTCCTGTTCCTACATAAAAACCTGTGGCCATTTCTGTACCACGATTACTGCTGCACGGATGCACTGCTGAAGCTGGAATTGCTCCTCCTCTTGCATCTGAACACTTCCTAATTGTCCCAATCCAAATATTTAATTCTACTGGCTCTGAATATTCCACTGATATCTTTGGCTACCTGTATCAAGTTTCTTCATTTTCCATCTGTCATTCCTTCCTCCTGATTAAGTTATTACAGCTACTTGCATTTTACAGTTCAAAGAGAAGGATTTGGGGTTATTTTTGGTTTGTTTGGTGGTGTGTGTTTTTTGTTTTCTTTTTTCTTTGGTGGTGTTCCTGTTCTCTCCAGTGGTTTGGGTTTTTTTTCCATTTTGTAAACACAAAAGAAACATCCAGAACTCAAGTAGTGATTTTTGCCAATACACAGTTCACCTTCCTAATAAGAAGCTAATAAACTTCCAATCAGTCATACACTTACTGATTACATTTTTTCTTCCCAAGATTACTCCTCATGACTCTTTTCAGCATTTCTAAACCCACCTTGTACTTGTACCACATATTATTGGTGAGATCTGCTACATTACTCTGCCTGTTGAGCAGCAGAAGGCAACTCCAGCTTCCCAGGGAGGGAAACAGAGCCACTGAGAAGCTGTTCCAAAACACAGAGAGCATCAGTCCCTCGGGAACAGGGCTCCTTTGTGACTAATTAGCACGCTGAGTCAGTTGATGGAGCTGTGGATACCAGGGCTCTGCTCAGATCACTAAGGCAAGCACAGAGAACAGCTAGAGAAGCGGCTCAGCAGAGATGAGGTCACCGAGTTAAAGTAAGCCATGAGACAGGCTGCAGATCTCAGTGCCCCCAGCCACCCACCACGCCAGCCTTTGCCACTCCTGGAGCTCTGACAGAGGGACAACCTGCTCTTAAAGGGCCCAGATGTCTGCAGGCTTCACTTTCCCCCTCCCAACAGGTCTCACGTTTCTCTAAGACCCCATGTAAGACATGATCCATTCCACTAGTGCAAGACAAATGAAACGAGGCTGTTGAATGCTGGCAACCACCAGCTGGTTTTCAGTTTGGTAGTTCATCTTTTCTGTCAGACTAAGCTCCAACAGGAAATAATTTGAAGTTGGTTGCCTGTTGATGAAGTATCAGAATGCTCAAGCAGAACGGAGTCTCCA